ACAAATGACAGGATCATTTTTATCGTGAGTTAAGGTTTAGAAGCAATAAAGATTTCGGTAGTAGTAGTAGGTCAAATTAGAAAAAACAAACAAGTGTAAGCATATATATATAAAAGAAAAATATTTACCCTAAATTCATGAGAAAAATTAATGTATTCTGGCCAGTTAAATAGTTTTGCTAGGAGGAAAAAATGCTGAAGACTTTATTTTTGTAGAATAAATAAAGATCTCGGATTTTTCTACCTCGCACAGGTAAATCATAACATTCAGTTTTTACATCACCTCTGGGGATAAAAGACTAAAGTATTGAAAAAGTTGAAGAGCCGTGTTGAATTAATATGTTAAAAATCCTATATTTTTTTTATTAGGGGCCTGAAATCTATTAAAACCCCGAAATTTTTAGAAATTTTAGAAGCCTAGCACGTTTTCACCCGAAACGAGGGAAGAAGTCCCGTGGACTGCGTCAACATGAATATGGTATAAAATCCAACCGGCTGCAGTACGAGTTTTATCCTTCCTCATCTGGTGAGATCGACCAACGAATCTCTTCTTCATGCACTTTCATACGAAATGAAGGCCCCCGAAACAATAATTAAATCTGAACATAAAATTGGTCAAGAGGATTGCCTTCCCTTGCCATTTTGATTAGTTGTAACTCAGTTTATACGATGAAGCTTCTCATTGTAGATGCCGGCGAGACGTTTGGGAATGTACAAAGTGAATGGTCTGATGCTGGGCTTGACCAATACTATGGCAGAAGACACTAGACTAGGTACGTTTCACTAGAAGTTGTGGCATCTGGTATGGTCGCATGGTATAGAATCATCACAACTACTATGGCAGACGACTTCGGACTATGTGCGTTCTACTAAGTCCCCCTCACAACAAGAGCAAGTTGCGACAACGAGGTCAAGCCACTTCTATAAATCTGGTTTGTTTTCTCTCCATTATACACAATAGTTAGAGTATCACATTATAAAATACGTTTTTCTACTCAGGAAGTTATATATAATTTAATTCGGCTAAAGCTAATCTAATCATTTTAAATATAAAGATAATTTAATATTCATCAATCCTATCCATTCATCTGCTTAGCTATATGGTCTCCATATCGCGCACACGTTGAGCCTTATTCCATGTAATCCTTTGTCTTGTATGAATTCTATGCTCATATTATTAATATTCATGGATCCATAAAACTTCACATGCGGTTTTTACCAAGAAAAATCTCTTGTTCATTGGTCAGCGTACAACCCCATCATAGGTGCTACCAAGAGCGTTAATCATTATAACCACATAATCCACAGGGTCAGAATACTTCTTAACAGAGGTCCTCCTAATGCAGCACATCCAAATTATTTTTAAAATGAAAAAAGGATGACAACAGAAAGAAATAAGTGGTCGTCCAAATTCTTAACTTTATTTGAATAATCGATTTAGCGATTACTAGATATTCTTTCAGAAATAAAACTTTATTTTAAGATTCTAAATCTCTAGTCCAGGTAATTTACTTGTGATAAGGGCGGACTTTATAAGCATTAAGGTATGATACCTGCTTTATTAAGATAAGAAAGAGGAGAAATACAAAAGGAAACCTTCATTTATGGGTTAACAACAAATTCTTACCGCTCTTAGTTCTTTTAGCAGCGACTATAAAATAAAAAAATAAACCTATTATCCTTTTTTAACTAAAAAGTCAAATTTGTCCAGCGGTTCATCCTGACTCCACATAGCACGCCTTTAAATAACAGAGCTGTGGTCCATATATCTAAACAATAGTTTAAGAACCTAGGAGTGCTGTTCAAATTAGGATAACCTCTCATTAGATTACATAGTTGTATGCTAGCATTGGGGCTAAACAAGAGCCCCAATTAGACATTTTTTGCTGATATAGTGCACCATAAAAACAATATTAGTAACCGAATTTATCAATCTTACTATTTACTTTGCTCAGATTTCTATCCATCATAATCTCTGGGGGTTGAGCTAATGTTAATTATACAGCCTCTGCTACTCCTTAAGCTACATAAACCAATAATTTTTCATCTTATAATGCAGCCTGTTAACCATATTAATGCTTAAACTCTCTGATACAACTTAGCAGCAATAACGTATAATCTAAGGAAGTTCGCCAAACTAAGACTGTTGGTCATGGTTTACCTAGGCCTTATGTTTATTCGAAGTAAATTTTACCGAAGCAAAGGATACTTTTTAATATGAGTAGGCCTCAAGTTTTCATTGAACTTCCCACAGGGTTGCTTTACAATTAATCTTCTCCGAGCCCGAGTGAGAGTCATGTTGGAGGTGCTAATGAGACATAGACAAGGTCGAAACTGCAGTCTAGCCCAGATGAGAATATCTTTTGGGATACAAGACATGAAAAGTTCAATGAAAACGCGAGGCCTACTCATATCGTCGTAAAAAATTCAATTACCAGTTCTTCATAACCTTAAATGAGATAGGGTGAATACGGAGCTTTTATGAGATCTACTGGAAGTCTCGGAACCAGCGTATAAACTAAAACCGATAGCAATTATAGCTATGTGCTATGGGCCTAATTTTTGACTGAAATGCACTGTGCCATGCAGGCCAATGTTCAATGGATCTATGAGAATGTGGTTTGAATTGAATTCATGGCCGGAAGGTTTAGGTTTTACGAGATACATCAATTGTAACTATGATAATCCGAAAACATCCTATAAGAGTGAAATTAAATGATTAACTTAAGGTTTTCCATAAATATTTAATGAGCATTCCCTATTAAAAACATATAAATATAATGACCGGTCATTGTCTATAAATGTGATATTTGAGAAATAATGAGGAAAGTAAGACCTTCCTTAGTAGATAAAAAATTAAATAAATCGGCATGCAATACAATGAATATGAAAATAAAAAAGAATTTCCCTGAGGGCTGATAAAATATCGAAAATTTTTAAAAGGATACTTTTCAATAGAATCTAAGACTAGTAAGATTAAGAAATAGCAAAGCAACTTAACTTGGGAAAGTTCATGTAGTTAAAAAAATGTTTTTTTTAGTATAGATAGCTTTAATGGGAAGTCAAATAGAAAAAAACAAAAGTGGATAGTCAAAGCGAGGATACAATAGCAGAAACGAGACTTACTGTAGATCGCCTATCTTCCTTAATCCTGTCCTTGCATTTTTCGGAAAGAGGTATATGTGGATTTATCGTTGAGAGAACTACTGGGCTTATCAGGTGGGACTGAACGTAGTTTCCACATGTGCCACTAACAGTACAGACACTTGAACGGCTAAAATCTTGTGCATCAATCGGATTTAGTACTGAAAAATTAGAGGTTGCTAACAAGCTGGAGCTCATAGAAGACAGAGAGGGTAGTGGAGGTGCTAGTGACGAAGATAAATCAAGGGACATTTCAGTGACAATCTTGCAGATTGCAGAGGCGGCAAAAGAAGAATTAATGCTGTTTGAGGTGCAGGTCTCAATGTAGGTAGTAGAAATAGCAGTAGTGGAAACAGGACAGGCAAAGGGTGTAAAACTGGCTGCAGAAAGACAAGGAGGCTGAGTACATTCAGGATTACGCCGGCTCAACGTTGAAGAGGATGGAGTTTCTATTTCTTTATAGGGTAATTCAGTGTCTGCCTCGCAAGCATGACGACGACGCCGGGACTGGTCTCCTGATGAAGTAGGGCAGAATAAGTAGTATGACCGGGCGATGTGATCAAAGGGTCCGGGTGTTATAGGGGTGTCGTCAGTCCCACTGTCCTCTTCTGCTTTATTGTCTTCCAGACAATCCTCTTCAACATCGTAAGGCTCTTCGCTTCCCTCACCCTCCTCACCTCCTTCGCTTTCTTCCTCCCCTTCCTCCTCTTCAATTCCCTCCTCGTTCAGATGTTCCTCTGATTCTCTTACGTCTTCTTCATCACAAGAAACCTCGCCTAGCTCTAAACACCTGACTACATCCCCATCATCTTCTCCGTCATCCTCGATTACCTGCTCTCGCTCTGTAATATAGTACTGTTGGGATTGAGAATTTTCGCAAACTGATACTCTGACAAAATTAGTTCGCGTATTCTCCAGCTCCTCGTCTATATCATCAGACTCCTCAACCGAAGTCTGTGCCTCGGCATTGTGATCATATCGAACTCCGGAGGAGCTGAGCAGATCTAGAAAAAACATTATCAATAATTTAAAGGCGAATTTTGATAATGAAAACATCAAAGAGCATGTGAGAGTAAGCGTATCAAACAAAAAAGTATATCACTTTAATTAGACAAAAACTGTCCCTACCATGATTGAATATAGGAACGAAATTTTGCTGACAAATTTTGCCACCCTTGCTGATTAGTGGGGATGACGTATGCGAAGCAGGCGACGGATGATCGAGAGCAAGAGCGATGACTGCGTTCATTTGGTTTGACCGTCTGGCTCCATCAAAGCTAAGAGATGTGTGGGGCTTAGACTCTAAGCATATTTCATCACCGATATCTACTGTAGATGTTATAGCGTCCGCTTGCGTTGCTATTTCGCGAAGCTTGCGACCAGGTAATCTGGTGGATACATCCTGAGGAGAAGGTGTTGGGAGCATTTTGTCTGAAGAGATCAAGAATGATTTGGAGTGCCTGGAGGGAAGACTAGAGCACAAGCCATTTGAACAAGTAAGTTTTCTACTACTGGGTACACAATCGCCACTGCCTTCACCAACAGTATTAGCATTTGAATGGCTAGCTTCGGATGCGGTGAAGGCAAGATGAGGAGCAATTGTGGCAGAGTCCGGTTCAGTGCAGTCTCCAGAATAGATGACTCTAATGGGAGGTGAATCTGCAAAGCCAGTAGGAGAGGCAGGTCGACCTGGGGTAGATCTATGAGTCTTTACCTCGGACGTGTCTTTGCCCCTACCAGTTGCAGATTCGAGAGCAGTAGCCAAGTTAATCTCACTATTTACTGGTTTTGAAAGACGGGCATTTCTGGCATGCTCGTTGGAGAGTCGCTGTTTCAGCTCAACAATCTGGGCCAAATAGCTGCCCTGATAAGCCTCAAGCATGGATATATGCCATTGCTGATCACGGCATTTTTGATAATATGTCGGGGCGCGCACCTAATATTAAAAAAACTCATTAAATGGTGCATAAATTTATGCGTGCAAGTGTTTTTGAAAGTAAAAAGAGGATACAAGGGGGATACCGATCCAGAAAGCAAAGGTCCGGTGGGTTAAGAGATATTCGATAAACAACTAATAAAATTAGTCTTTTTAGTGGTATTCGTCCAAGAACTAAATGGTAATTAAATCATTGATTATGAAGCAATACACAAATAGATTAAGTTATAGTAACAAGTAGCCCGCAAACAAAAAGCTATATGTGTCCTAAGGCTGAGATACATCTGCTGATATAGCATCTTTAGATTGGGTTTTATTTAAAGTGAGAAATTCGAAAGTATATCTTATCAGACGAGAAAGGACTCCTTGTGCTTGGTAATTAATCAAGATTAATATGAAGTTCAGGTTGACAACCCACTAAACATTCTCCTTCCCTTTAGGATGAAAACAGGACGAATTTTCACTTCTCCTGTTATACACATTGAGAACAGGATATCTTTACTACAAAGAAGCCACTTTTCAAAAATTATGTATACATATACATATATTTAATCACCAAAATGAAATAAAAGGAGATAAAGTGTACTAGCATATTAAGGAAGAGAATTAAGGGTGAGAAAGCATCCAAAAATCTATAATAAGCTGCAAAACTTCAAAATAGTTGCTCATATATCTAAGAAAAATGTTTAGGTCGA